TAGTACCAGATCCCTCCTGACTCAGACGGTCTGACTCATTCCGTACCGTGCTTGTGACTTCACACGTTTTCTCTCATGACAATCCTTTTATCTTCCCCCATGTAAATCCAAGTCGCTTTGTCACGATGGGCACATTCAGTATGACAAGATTTTCTGTATCAGAGTTGTTTTTCAGCTCTTTTCGCTGCTCCCCTACATGTCAAGCCTTAACCACATCCCTACCTGACACCCACTGCCTCTTCAAAGCACGAGCACACACACACACAAACAACACATGAAAGGCTTACTAAAAATGAAAGACATATCTCCCAGTAACTTCTGGAATCAATACTAGCAAAGCAATCCATTGCTGAAAGATATGTCATCAGGGACCACCTGAATAGGTAAGAGAGGAGTGTGACTTTTAGCACTGGACTGTCCTCACTCTTCACCTGCTACCTCTGGCCCTGTTTTCAGCTGTCCCAAGAGCTTCTCAAAGATGAAGCCTGTACATGGCTCCCACTAAAAACTGATGGGAAGGGGATGGAGAAGATTGTGCAAAATTGTGGTCTAAATTAATCTCAGCCTTTTAACAAGCTTGGTATTAAATCTTATTACACACTTTCCCACTGCAGACAGCACAAAAAATTAAGCTACTCTATTACATATATCTTACCTTGTGCTATGGTTTTCAACAAATCCCTTGCTGAAGGTTCCTCTTTCCATTATTGACTAAAGTAGGAGCCTGAAAAATCTGTGAAGACTCGTTTGCTGTTTTTAATTACTAAAGTTAGTCAAAATGGGTTCCACTCTTGAAGTGGTCTGTGGTCTGTAGCGTCTGTGTAGGTTGCCAGCTGCTCCAGGCAAAGAGGTGCCCTTCTTGGTAATTGTATTTTAGTCAGGAAATCCACTTCTTATGTGTGTTGATTGATATCCTGGGGATTTCAGATATCATGCACAGCCATGGAAAAGCTGTCTATGAAGAGCTTAGATAATTGTAAAATGATTTACAGTCAGGCATGGAAAGGCTTCTGCAGATCCAGCTATTGTTATAGTGCAGCTCACTCCTCCAGCCTGGAGGAAGAGAAAATGCACAAAATATGTCTTTGCGTTTGATGACATGTTCAACGTTGTACTTAGCAAAACAAGGATTCACATTTCAACTACTGCAGTGAACATTTCAAACAAGCCTTTCAAAGAAGAAAAAAAACCTGTCCAATCCATTATCTGTAATTATAGCTCAGGAATTTATAAGGGGAGTAGGACTATATTTTTCTAGTAGTTTTGTTGACATCTTCAGTGTAGTACAGCTTAACACTTCTGCTTACCAGCTCTTATTTGCATACACTTCTTTGAATCCCTATGGGACAGAAAGAAGTGGTACTGTCAAGATCTCCAAGGATTAAAACGGGGAGTTGGAACCTCCAATTCAGAATGTTGTGTGGCCCCATGGGCAGCTCCGAGAGGAGCAGGGAATGCAAGCTCAGACAGGGTGGAGAGCAGTTCCCTCACATAGAATCTCTAAAGGCTTTTGCACCTACCTTCAGTATCTTCAAACTGCAGAAGGGTAGAAACCACTGAAACAACAGAATCTGCAAATAGAAGTTAGGCATTAGGAAAAGGCCATGTTGCACCTCCTGAAGATAAAAAACAGTAGACCTGTTTGCCAAGTATTCTGGCAAACCCAATACCTCTGCAAGCCCTTCCAGGGAAGGAGGATGTCTTTCTAAGGGTGTATGTACATTAAGCAGTGAAGCACTTTCTTGCAAACCCTAAGCAACATCCCATGCAGGTCTGCTGAGAGATGTCAGCTCAAGTCCTGTATGCCAGGTGGACATGCCAGTGCAGGATTGCAAACAGAATTAACGTGGCACACCATGGCATTAGCACAGTTGTATTACTTACAGTTCCACAACTAGAACATATGAAGCTGTATGATAAATCTCTTTGTCTTGTCCCTTAGCAATAAATATAAAAAAATAGCTTGTTTTGCATGAATAAAATTCTCCATTCTTAGATAAACAAGTATGCAGAGTTGTCCATCATACTGGCTCATAGTTCTTCAAAGTACACCCCTCTGGAAGCATGACCAGTGGAGCATTTATCCATTTGCTATACTCTGGATGACCTCTGCTGTTCTCTGACTCTTTTGAGGAATGTGTCCAATTTTCCCTAAAATATAAAATTATTCACCATGTACTGACCTAATATCAAGTAGTTAATGGGTGCCCTTACAAAGTCTTTGGCAAACATGAAGGCACTTGGATTCAGCCCTTCTTAAATATGCACTTTACTGTCTTTAATGGAACACACAGTTGTGCTGTAGCACATTGCATTGGCAAAGGGAAAGATTCCATGATGTAAACATGGTACAAGGGATACCACCAGTGTGAGAACACAGCCAGTGCCTGACTCTGACTCTTGCATAGTGCCAAAAAAACTTGTCTGGGTTAATGTTGCCAATATTACACTACATTAATGGCAATATTACATTACATTCATAACATTACTATTACATAAAACTGCACAATTCTAAGGCCAGCATGCAGCACACCATCTTCCTTCAAGTGTATAAAAGCAAGAACCAATGAAGTTTGATTTATAATGAAAAATATCAAATACTTTAATATTACTTTCATAAGGAAAATCTGTTTTTATTTCCTGTCCTGGTTGTGAAAATAAAATATTTCCATTTATACAGAGCCAGAACTATCTTTGGTTGGATACATTCTTCTATCCTTATTGAGACAGATATGATATAGAACACGAATAAAGCTTCCTGAAATGAACTGAAATATATTTTCCAGTCTCCTTGTCCTCTCCATCTGCCACATAATCGTGGTCATAGCAACATCATTCCATGGATGATGTGTTTTTCTTCTGCTTTTATTCTAACAGGTTGTCAGTATCCAAGCCCAGAAGGATCAGAAAGGATTGAGAAGGGAGAACAAATGGAAGCAGACACAGGTAGGTCTGGCACATCCACACTTGCAGGTGACCTGTCGTGTTTCTACAGCCCACTGCTTTCCTCTCATAGAGATTGTGGTGGGTATGGCTGCCCTTCTGGCTTTTTGGCAAAGAACTGAATCCTTTTTGGTTTTCTTTCCTGTAAGACGGGGTCCAAGCTGAACAGACCTCAAGTTTCCATTTAAGTTTCTTTACAGAAGTTAATGTGCAAGAGGTGAAGTTAATTTGGTAGCTACTTCAGAAGCGTTTATGCATCTCAGTATAAGAATCGTGGAATTTCCTGGGGGAAGGGAAAGGAAAAATGGAAAGAAATTAAATATTTAGAGATTATGGGGGGAAACAAACAAACAAACAAACAAAACCCAGTAAAACTGAAAGTTAAGCAGAGGGACAGAAAACATTTGGTCCTGCACAAATACTCAAATACTTTTCTCCTGCTGTGCTCTGAAAGAATCAATCTGAGTGTCAGCCAGGCACCCTACTATTGATTCCTCTGTTCCTACCTCTCACATCAACAGTAGATCAAGATTAAATTCAACATTGTTAAAATGCAGGGAATAGCTATAAAATGAACCCTTAACGAAGGGGGCAATAGGTCAAAAGAGCACGTTTGTTACTCACCAATCCAGTAAAACCTTTCAATCTGCTGAGCAAAACACCTCTGTGCAACGCTAAAATAAATTAGTAGGGTCTTTCTGATGGAGACAGTTCACATGTGAGATAATCTCAGGAGGTCTGAAAGTCATCACAAGAGACATGCTTCTGCCTTTTAGTGTAGTTGTTGTGGTACCTTCCATGCCTTTCACATTTTAAATTATTACATAGTAGTCCTCAGGCTCCACACACTGAATATGCCTCGATGGGACCTTCACATACTGCTGCTACTCTTGGAGGCAGTCTGTGCTTATGGAAACAATCTTTTTTTTTCTTGAGGGGTTAAGCTAAAGGGTCAAACAGAGAAAAGAAATACACATAATACACAAGAAAAGATTCAAGGAGCAGCTTGCTAAAGGATGTTGGGGATGTAAAAAGTTTACGTGGCTTCAAGGAGGGGATTGGGCAGGTACTAAAAAGTGAGAGCTAGTCAAAGGTTCTGGGCAGACAAATCACACACCAACCTGACAAATTAATATAAGCTAGCCCTCATCTCTTTCACCTCTTCAAACAGCTGAACTTTTCTGAATCTCAGAAAATTACATCCACAGACTTGGAAGCTTTTTTGTTTTAGAAAAATTCAGTAAGGAATCAAGCATTCATAAGGAGCTAAATGATATATTTTGACACAGCCACGATCCTTGTAGGATATACTTTTTTTTTGGTCTCAGAAAGTGTTTTTGCAGAATACATGTCATACATGAATGTTCATAAATGGTCACGGCCCAGAGGTGATAAATATGGAATAATACAGTGTACAAAAATATCCCCAAAACAAGGTTGTCTAAGAATATGGGACCAGATTCCAGCATACCAGGAAAGTGAGAAAATATTTTGATGTCAGTAAGAATTGCAATTAAAATCCTTTGTCAGATTTCAGGAGAAAAATAATCACAGTGTTTAAAAAAAGGCTGAAGCATTATAGTAACCTAATTCCACATGAATGGCTACAAAAAACAGTTTGGTTTTCTGCTGAACAAACTCTGTTTCCAAGTACTTGCTGCCATAGACAACACAAAATAAAAATCAGCAGAGATCTGAAAAATAAAATCATGCCAGGCTTCTTTTTATTTTGTTTTGCTTGTGGCTCACAACTGGATGTAGCATCGTTATAATTTTGTAAAAGCTTTTTAGATTGAGTTTTTCTGGTCTGGTTTTCCCACCCTCTGACAAATACTAACAACCTTCAGCTGGTATTACATCCTATATTTCACACTCCCAGCTCTCTAAATCCCACATTTCTGATTCTGTAAATGCATCAGCTACAGGAGCTGATGCAAGTGGCTGGAACCTCTGTTCATACTCTATAATCTAATGCACTTAGCGAGCCAATGAATATGTGTGAAAGGAGGGGCTTTCTGGCTGAGGGGCTCCGTGCAGGGGAACAGCTGTTGAACAGCAAAACCTTACCCAGAGCCAGGCAAACACTCACTCACATCCTCAGTGGCTTTGTGAATCCAGGTCTGCCAAGACAACTCCACCCACCCCTTCTCTCTCTGCAAAAAGTGAACAAACTAGCACAGAGAAACATAAAGAAGACCAAACCTCAGCTGTGAAACATTTCAGCAGATCAGTAATGGCCTGGATCAGTAATATCTCCTGGTTAAACCACCTTGCTCTACAGGAAGAACGTTTCAGGGGGTACTTAAACAGCACTGAGGATTACTTAGCCTTCCTATGTGGGCCCAGACGGAGCCACCTGTTCCTGCCCATGGCTTTGGTGTACACCCTGATCTTCATTGTTGGGGTGGTGGGGAACTTCTTAGTTTGCCTCGTAATCCTCAAGCACCAGAACATGAAGACCCCAACCAATTATTACCTCTTCAGTCTGGCAGTCTCAGACCTGCTCGTGCTGCTTTTCGGGATGCCACTGGAAGTCTACGAGATGTGGAGCAACTACCCCTTCCTGTTCGGGCCCGTCGGCTGCTACCTGAAGACGGCGCTCTTTGAGACTGTGTGCTTTGCCTCCATCCTCAGCGTGACCACGCTCAGCGTGGAGAGGTACATTGCCATCCTCCACCCCTTCCGTGCCAAGCTGAAGAGCACCCGCAGGCGAGCCCTGAGGACCATCCTGGCGCTCTGGGTCCTCTCTGTCCTCTTTGCCCTCCCCAACACGGGCACCCATGGCATCATGCTGCAGCATTTCCCCAACGGCACCCTGGTCCCCGGCTCTGCTACCTGCACTGTGGTCATGCCCTTGTGGATCTACAACTGTATTGTCCAGATTACTTCTCTTCTCTTCTATGCGCTGCCCATGGGGGTAATAAGTGTGCTGTACTATCTGATGGGGCTAAGAGTAAGTCTTACTCCAACTGTGCTGTGTTTCCTTGGCTCATTCTTGTGTGTTTGTGTCTGTATGTGTCTTTTGAGTGATTGCACTTTTTTCTTGCCGGGGTGTTTTCCCCCAAAAAGGCAAAAGTATTTCAAACCTCTGGAAAAAAAGAAAAAAAAGTAGATCCAAATCCTTCTTTGGTGCAGTCTTATTCTGAAATTAAAGTTAGGGGATAACCTACCCCAGTCTTTTTATAAAAACTTACCATCACTTCTGCTCACATCTGAATGTCACTGAAACACCAAAGTCTGTGGATTGGTTCCAGCCTCTCAGAGATTTACACCTTTGCAGCAGGGACTAGAAGGAAATGTAGCAAAAGTAAAATGTGAAAAGAATAAAAACAAGCAGGTTAGTGATTGAATCTTGTTTATTATTTGTTTTCCCTTTTCTTGTGACTGTGGAATTTCCACTGCATTAGTTTCTTTTTCTCCTTGGTGATAATATCCACTTGTTAAAACTCACAAAGCTCTCTTAAACTGAAATGCTACCTTATTGCTGCTGTTAGCAAATTCAGCAATCATCTCCTTATACAATTGCAGCACAGTTTCACCAGGCTATCTTAGAGCTTATTTTCATTCTCTCTTCAGAAAGTGAGCCTAGTTTTACCAAGTATCCATCATGTAAATGTATGGATAAAACAATCAGTATCACAGTATTATAAAGCTGTGTAGCACAACGCTGGAATTCGCTGCTAATCATAGTGAGTTGATGAATTTTTTTTTCTCATACATTACAGATATTTTGAAAATATGAATACCATCTCATTGCACTGGGTATAACTTAAAGTTTACAAAGATATGTCCGATCATATAGCAAGAAAGGGAGAGGAATGAACTTATTAAATAATGTGCATGAAACTCAACCAAATCTCTGCTGGTGTACATATCATTTTGTTTTGCTGGCTGACATTTACTGTTACCTGAAATTATACAGAAGCAATTTTTACTCTACCCAGGAAAAAAAAAACAAGGATTAACTGCCAGAAATCCATAGCACACAACAGATCCTCAAAGCAGTGAATGGGTTAAATTGTCCACACTGCCCAGTGGCTGTTGTGGGGTCTTAATATGGTTTTGATGAAAATTTTGCAAAATAAGACCCGAAGGGAGGGAAAAATTTTGTAAATATGGATATTATGAAAAGAAAAAGAGAAATATCTGAATTGCTAAAAAGAAGACTTGAAGATTGCAATAACTTCTATTTGCAGCATCAGATATTCCTATACCCCATCCCAGAAGAGAAGCTCGGTACCAAATGAAGGCTGCTCCCCCAGGACTTCTGTAAATTCACAGATATGTTCAAGCTGTCTCTCCTAAAAGCAGTAATGTTCATAGTTTGTGGGGTTTTTTTTCTGTATATCCAGCTCAGACTTTCAAATTTTAAACAGCATCCATCCTAACTAGATCTGCATTATGCTCCAAACAGCACTAGGCAAGATAATTTCATTTCTTCAACAGAAATGACAGAAGAATGATGTATATATATTGTTTTTCAAGAGGAGACACTTTTTATCTACTCACGAAGGATGAAACCTGTGAAGCTTTAGCAACACCCTGTAGTCTCCTGAGTGCCATGTATCCCTCACAGAATATAGAGGAAAAGCTCAGTGTTATTCCAAAGGTTGTACAACAGCTCAAATTCAGCAGAGACATAGCCCTTCCACATCCAGGCTTTGTAGTAAGGGTATTTCCTTGCCACAGTTTCTCCCTCAGGCTTTGCCAGTGCTCAGGATGCTCAGGAGAGTCTCAGGATGCAACAGAGAAAAAAATGTGGGACATGTCACATGTCATGAGAGGGCAGCAAACATGGGTCATGGGGTACCTGAGTTAATTTTAAATTTTATTCCTTGGAAAATGAACAGATCCATCCAGCTGATTACCTCGTGATCAGTTACCTCATGATCTACTTGGGTATCATTTTAAGGCTTGATGATTTAATAATAATTCATTGATGTGGTCAATAGATAGTTCCAACATCAGTATAAAGAAGAGAACACTGATGATTGCACTGCAGCCTCATTAGATTTAATTGTGGAAGTTTCCTACTGCCTCTTTCATAGGGTTCTCACCACAGGTACCTTTAGGATCAACCCCTAAATCATCCAGGCTCTTTAAACCCGGTCCAGCTTCTGGACTACTGGTTGCAACCCATAGCCAAAAACCTGAGGAGGAAGAGAAGGAGTAGATGAGATCATTGGGAAATGGCTGCTCATGGAAGTTAATCCCTGCAGTGCTGATAGGGATGGAGTGGGACTGTTCGGGAAGAAGTGTGTGTTGCAGCAGGAGTCAGTGCAAGGTCCCTGTCCATTTCTTTCAAACTGGTCTCTAAAAGAACACAGGGGTAGGTGCTTATCACTGCTTGTCTAAAAGTCAAACTTTATTTAACAAGGATTTTTGACAGTGAATGAAGAGAGTGGAGAGTCCATAGACATATTCTCCTACCTGCTTCAGACATCTGTGAGAGGATCTAGACAGTCAGATGACTTTTGCCCAGACAGGATGATTCTTCTGCCAAGGTTCAACACTTCTCTTAGTCTCTAATCGCCTCGATAATACATTGGACACACTGGAAATCTTTATTTCAGCTGTCTTTGAAGCAAGACAACTTATTCTTGCCAATGCATATCTGGTCCAGATTTAATCATCAAAATCTATTTTGCCCCCCAGATGCCCAGCTGTTAAAACCAGAATCATCTGTGGACAGTGACTGGCTTTGTTGAATTTCTGCAGAGCCCAGCACATCTCTGGAAGAGTCCATCCCCTTTCCATGGAAGTTTTCAGCAAACCTTGCCCCCACTGCCACGTTCTCTTTTGCCATGAGGTTGAGCTAAAAGCACACTAAGGTTGTAGTTGAGCAGCAGATGGCAACAGCTTCAGCCAAATCCTCAGAACAGTCACAACTGTAGGCTCTGGCATAAGCCTTGTAGTTATTAAGTATCAATTTTTCCATCAGCTGGAGAGAAAGTTTGTTCACCAATAGTGTCAGATAGGCCAAGGAGTTTACAGAAAACATTTCTGCTTTTGTAGAGTGGCCTCACTAGGTTTGCCTGGGAATACGTGAGGCCCTAATTTTACTCTGCCTCCTGATTTCTGGTATGAAATCCTGTAGCTAATAAAGATATGGGGGGGAGGGGAATCCAATTTTCAGTTTCTTGCTCCAGCCACTTTTAATTCTTTTTCAGTGAAAGGGTAGTTTGCATCTCCAGGCAACCCTACACAGCCTCATACATCACAGTGATGTAAAAGTAACCACTACCTTGGCTGGAGTTCTCTCAAACCATTGGCATTCGCTCAAAGTTACAACCTTTACCATAGACTCATTTATTTATTTATTATTCCTCCTTCTTTGTAATAATTCATTGTTTTATTAAACTCCAACTGCTGAGTTATTCTTGCTAGTTACACCTTCATCCCTTGAAGCTAAAGGGGAGCCTCACAACATCATCAAAATGACAGGAGGAAGGTGAAAAAAAAAGATTCACATATCTCTGGTTTATTACAGCATCAGAAAGAACACTGTATTCTCTGAGGCTTTGGACTATGCCTGGAATAGATTACTGTTGAGACTGAAAACTACTGAAGGTAAACTAGGGGGTTTAATCATTCTGAGCAGACGTTTATCTCTACATGTGCTACAAATCAACTGAGAAGTTTCTTCCTCAAGAAACTGTGGCTATGACTAAAAGTTGCAAAGGCAATAATGTAAAACATGAGAAGCTGAATTGCACTATAATTGATTATAATCCCATTTACATGGTTTTCCCTTTTATAAATAGAATAAAGAGAACATTGAAAAAAGGTCTTATGTGATCATCCTGAGAGAAAAGTATTATTAATCAGAAATCAGAAAGCAAAGTCAGTGTAAAAGGCAAAAGCAAATGGCACAATTAGTATGTTTTCACAAGACTTTTACAAATACAGAATGATTTCTATCTTTTTCCTCATTCCTTATATTCTCTCCCATGTAATTAAAAGCTTTTTCTTCCAGTTTCTCTCAGTCAAAAAAAGCATCACTCCAAATCAGAAGTTCCCACCTCAGGAAGCTGGGACCAAATATGCACTTTTCATACATGATCTCTTCTGTATTCAAAGCAATCCTGTTTATCTAGACCTGGTATTTTCATCACCAAAGCACCAGTGCTCTCACCATAAGCATGTTGGAGAAGCAGTTCAGGGAGGATCAGATTATTGCTCTTTATGTCCATTTTTTAGAAGTCCAGGAAAAACTACTGGAGAAAACCTCACATTGTTGTGACTGAGCAGTATGTGGCTGAATCTGTGTATCATGCACCCCGACTGTCTGCAAGGGAGCATATTTGGGTTTTGTTCATTAGATGTGTTGAATATCAATTAGTCCAAACCACTCAGGGCATGAAACAAATTCCTTCAAATTTTACAGGATTTTTTCCAATGATTATAACTGTGTTACACTGAGGCCACTCTGTGTATTTTTTCGATCGTTGGTTTGTGCTTAATTGCGGGGAACCCTATTAGGAAAATAAACAAACAAGATCTTGCCAGAAGAGAAAATAATGCCTAGCAAAATAGAGTTGAAATTGAACACAAACTGTGAACCAAATATTGACTCACTGAGGAAAAACAAGTGGGGAAGTGAAATACAAACTTGCTGTAAATATACAGGTTCAGATGCACAAAATCTGCAGATTGTTTAGAACCTAAAGGTTCAGTGTTTCTCTGGAGAAAAAACTGAAATTTAGACTTTTTTCAGTGAGTCCCAAGTTGCCCCCAGTTTTGCTTTCTCAAACTGCAATTATCAAAATATTAAGCAGGCTATGTCTGGTGGGGATGTGATCTCTTGTCTAAGCTCTCCTTTGGTTTCCCTCCTTTTCCCAGTTGAAAGGAGATGAAACTTTGGAAGTAGAGGAAATGGCTGTGAATGTTCAGAGACCATCCAGGAAATCAGTCACAAAGATGTTGTGTAAGTAGTAAGTCCTTCTGTGTTTTATTTACAGTGGACAGGAGGGTGACCAGGTCCTAAAGGGAATTGAGCAAATTCACTGGATACAGTTATGAGATTAGTAGCTGTTATTTAAAAAAAAAAAAAAAAAAGGAAAAAAAAAAGGCTTATTGCTGTTTTATTTATAGGGCATGGAAGTGAAACACCATGGGTATCTACCAAAAGATTCAGAAAGAAAATTTTCCTCCCCAGCAGGAGAGGAGTTTGAGCAAACCTACGTGGCAGATGCTTGCATGGCAAGTCTCCAATATCCCTCATTCCAAACTGGCTCTTGCAGCCCTCTAGGGAGGATCTCTTTTTTTTTTTCCAGAGTGCAAATAGTCTATCTTGTACATTTATAAAGCATGTACATCTGTTTTGCATTACACCATGAGCTCTGCTAATGAGCAGAAATCACAGAATCACAAGATGGGTCAGGTTGGAAGGGACCACAGTGGGTCATCCGGTCCAGTCTCCCTGTTCAAACCAGGTCACTCCAGAGCACACGGCATAGAATTGTGTCCAGACAGTTCTGGAATGTCTCCAGTGAGGGAGACTCCACAGCCTCCCTGGGCAACTTGTTCCAGTGCTCGGTCACCTGCACAGTGCAGAAGTTCTTCCTCATGTTCAGGTGGAACTTCCTGTGCATCAGTTTCTGCCTATTGCCTCTTGTCTTATTGCTCAGCACCACCAAGAAGAGCCTGGTCCATCCTCTTGACACCCTCCCCTTCTGATACCCATACACATTAACGAGGTCCCCTCTCAATTGTCACCTCTTGAGACAATCCTGCCAAGCTACATCCATTGCCTACTGCTGACTTAATCACTTAGACCTTCAAAGAAAAGTTGGACCTAAGCAGACTTGCACATTTTATAACATTCAAGAGAATTTATGTGCCAATCACCTTGAAAGCACTCACATCACTTCCTGATTTAGGGCTGTCTTTAAGGCAAAGAACACCTTGCTACTGAGATGGTGTTTATGCAGGAAACATAAATCATTTTCACTATTTTCTGTAACATTATTATTTCAGACACCTTAAGTCACTGTCTGAACCAGGAAATTGTAATTTGAAGCCAGGCTGATTTTCAGTGCCTGGAATGGGTTTAGGCTCCGTACATGCCCCAGCATTACCTGGCTGTTTCCTTGCTCTGTTTGAATGTCACTGTGTGTGCATGCATTGGGCTATCCAACACTGAAACTAGTGGAAAGATTGTTCTTTTAGCTGGTAATGGTAAGACAGAAAGTATGGCAAAAGTTTTGAAACTATTAATGTAGTCTGTATATTTAGTCTTTCATTCAGCTTTTTGAACTCTCTCTGCTCTGTGCAGGCTAGTGAACCATATCCTCCCATTACTGACTTGTTTCTCTTCTTCCCTTTCTCCATGCCAGTTGTCCTCGTGATAGTTTTTGCTATCTGCTGGGCTCCATTCCATATAGATCGACTTTTCTTCAGCTTTGTTGTGGAATGGACTGAGCCTTTGGCTAACACATTCAACTTAATTCATGTGGTCTCAGGTAAAGCTTTCTTCTTCCACTTGCACAGAGACTGGGAAAAAAAAAGTATTTGTGAATGGTTTACTTGGAATATGTCTTCATTTATTTTGCAGGTGACATGAGACATGCATGGAAAACCTTCTCAGGATTTGGTGGGCAGTGATGAGAATAGTGCCTGAATAAAAACTACATGCAATTTTCTACAACTTTCAAGATCTGGACGTCTTGTCCAATACAGTATCTGAATATTCACAAAGAAGGAAAAAAAAGTATACCATGCATCATTACCTGCTTTTCCTTCTTGGGAATTTCAGAAGTGAAGGCTGCTGTTATTCAGCTGCTTTTAACAAGTACACAGGAACAAGCATCATCCTCCACAGGGTCTCTGGGGCAAATGGGAAACCTTGCAAAATGGCAAGACAAAAGACTTACCTACTGCTCAGAATGGGTGATGAAACCAAATATTTATGGCCTTGCCAACCATAAAATGAAGGCTTTTTCAAAGAGGAATCTTATTCTCAGTCTGCCATGGGAAAACACTGAATGTGGCCATTAGGCAGCTCAGACAAATCTGATCTTGTGCAGTTGTCCTGGCGTGTTGTAAGAAATTAGCTTCCCTTGGCTGGAAGTTGTCCTCTGACAGCTTTGATGGGGACACCAGCTGTGCAAACCCTGCTGTGGGGATGAGGGCAGTGCTGGAGGCAGGGCAGGACAGCTCAAGAGGGAGCTGGTTCCTGAAGAGCTGGAGAGAGTGAGCTCCAATTAACAATCTCTCCCACTTTCTTTTCACTGCAACTGCAGTGTATGAGCTAATCTCAGTGAGACATCCCTCTACCTATGCCAGGAAGGCAGCAGGCAGAGCTCTGCTGTCACTGTCTCCACCCTTGCATCAAAGCTTGGTGGAGCTGTACAGGCAATGAAGAGATTTTCCTCTTCGGAGATTGTTTCACACATAAATTTATCTCTCTCTCTCCCAGGTGTTTTCTTCTACCTGAGCTCTGCCACGAACCCCATCATTTACAACCTGTTGTCTCAGCGCTTCAGGATGGCTTTCCTCAGTGTGATTTCTCCTTGCTGCAAGCACTGGGCTCCTGAACATCCCACTTGCAAGATTTCTGCCCAGAAGAGCATGTTTGTGATTGAGGGTCACAATCTCATGGACTCTGCTGAATACATGAGTGCCCCTGGCACACACAGGACATCTGTCAGCAGTTCTCAACTCTCCACTGGTCTGTGACTTTCCATGTGATGATCCAGGTGAGAGAGGAGTTAAAGAAAATTGCTTTAAGAAAACAAAAAGAGAAGAGACCTTCCTAAAAGACTGATTTCAGCAAGAAAAGATTGGAGAGGTGTTTCATTGAGTAAATTAAGGAGAAGATTGTATTTAACATCTGTTTGAGAAGCATTATATTACACTCAAGCTAATAGTAGGGATGGGACTCTCAGCTTGCTCACTGCAAGCTGTGCCAGTGAAGAGCTGCTTTTAAAAAGCGAGACACACTCCCAATGTTACCAGCACAGGAGAGAGACGCAGCTTAGCCAGGTCAATGGCTTTTTGTGCACCAACCTAAACATCAGCGTTTACTTACTTTGAAATGAGGCAACTTGCTGCATAAGCCTTATCTATCTAGGTTTGGGTAAGCCAGTCCCACTTCTGTCTCCTATGACCTTCTCGAGGTATGGCTGTTGCAAACCTCTCTTGTCAACATGAGCAAGTAGGCAAGAACGAGAGTAGCTCTGAGCTGGGCTGATAGGCATCAGAAACCAGCAATAGCTATTTCTGGGCCAGAAGAATCAGGGAGCCAGTAATTGTAAAATAAATGCAAAGTGAAACCTTTGCTTTCTGAGCAAGGTAAAGATCTGGGTGGGGGGGAGTGATTAATGCAGCTGGTGGGGGATATCTGCCCAGGAAATGTGCATCAGACAGTTTTATTTTTGCCCATCCACCTGTGCGTGTACAAATGGGTAGATCCCTGCTATGCCCCATCTCCTGCAGTTTGTAAGAACTTCTTATCATTGCTTCAACTTCAGATACTTATGTGTTGTCTCCACCAGTGGAGCCTTGTAGTGCTTCAGCAGATTTCACACCTGCCTGTACCAGGTGGATTGCAAAGTCAGAGATCTACATGGATCCAGGAAACAGCCTGGACAACATTGACAACACAGGGAACTGGGGCAAACCTAATACAAAGGTAATAAAAATGGGAATTTTGCAGTGACACTGCAACTACTGAATTCAGATTTTGCCATAAAGCACAATGTAGGTCAAAAAAACTTTCTTGCATCCCAGTCGTGCAAACAGATCCTGAAGGCAGTGCACTTACATCTGAGCTGATGAGCTCTGCTGACTGCAGGGACAGGAGGCTACAGAATTTTGTCAAGGGAGGTCAGGGGGAATCCATTACATGACAAAGAATTCTGTAAGACTCTCTGTCCCAAGTTTCAAAGCCTGTTCATTGTGTTTCAGAGAAATGGCTCCCCTGTGCCCCCTGACGCAGGTCTTGGTTTAGCCACTGCTCTGGGCTCAGGCTTGGCACGCACTGCCACAGAAAACCATCCCATGTGTGTTGTCAAGGGACTGGGAGTTACTCTCATAGTCAGAGTACACAGAGTTATCACAACGAATAGGAACATTAGTTCCTGAAAGATGATACACTGTATGCATGAAGGCTTATTCCAGTCTGGTCACTGGGGATCCAGATGACACTTCCCATCGCAGGTGGAAGGGGTTTTACTCCTGTTTCCTTGGCTTCTTACTTTGTTTCCCCCAAAGTCTTCTGTTCGTCCCTCTCTGTGGGACTCTGAGGTGAGGTGAGACCTGGGAGGCTCATGGAATCTGGTGAGTCATCTTTTCCTGTAGCACAAGGGGAATTTTAGACCATGTTTTCTCTCAGACTCATTTTACCATCTGCAGTCTTCTTGAACAAGCCATGGAGAGGGTAAGAGCTACACAATAGGCCGGCAGAGAGAAGGCAATTCCTGCTCCCTGAAGACACAGCTGAAATGCTTTGCCACCCCCAAGTGGACACTTGCGTTTTGTCAATAACATTTCCATTTCCAACCAGTTTTGCATTATAATTTTTCCCTCTGCCAGACGTAAAAGTGTGATTTCTGTCTGGACTTGCTGTGCCAGTGGTGCCTTGTTGCCTGTGAGCTGCCCAGGTACCTGTTCTCCCACTGGGCTCTGGGCTCTGTGCTCCCACTGACAGGCTGGGGGCCACCTGGGCAGAGCCTGGGCTGGATTTCGTCCCTCACCCTGTGCCTCACTTGGGCAGCTCCCTCATTGAGCTCAGGAGGTTATCCTCCTTGTCCCAGCTGTGTTCCACTGAAAGCAGGTTTTCTCCGACGTCCTAGACACCCACCCATGAGGAGATGGTGTAGTCTGACATACTCACACATCCACCATATGATGGAGACATTCCTCTGCAGGATTTTGTGGCTCTTTGGATGTATTTTATGCATTTAGGACCAGATGGCATTTTGTGTTGGTGCACAGAGAGCCACCCATGAGTGAGAGCCATCCATGAGTGATGCAGCTCTCTCCTCTCTTTATGGGAGAATCCCAACCTTTGGCTGCAAAGCTCGGGGTGGATAAATGCACTTCATGACTTGCAGATGAGCACACAGACCTGCAGACAAGGTTGGGCTGTGAAGTTGTAGGGTGAAGATTTTGTGTGGTCTTAGACAAAACAGCCACATTTTTTTTCCCAAGGAGGACATAGGGTTTTGTGAGGAAGGGGAAGAAGGGAGTGGCAGAAATGTGCATGGATGGGGAAATTTTAGAAGAGAAATAGTGAGAAGACAATCATCAGGAACTCACCTGGGTCTGAAATAATTTATTCTTTTGTCCTAAAAGGAATTTTTATCACGTTTCATTTGCTGTCAGTCAAAAGAAGTGACGCTCATAACCAGAAATTACTGGGCTTTTTTTGGCTAAATATCAAAACCAGAACTGAAAACATTTAGGTTTGCACCAAATCAAACCTTCTGTGAAAGTGTTACTGGGAGAGACATGTCAAAAATCCTCTAAATTCTGCTGAAAACAAAATAAATGCAGTGGAGAAAGTTTGGACTGACTGGAGACTCCAAGTTAAGTTCCCCGTGACTGCACAGCTCAGTACTCCTCATTCCTGAGGGTGCACTTTGTCTCTACAAAGTAGTCAATGTCCACTGGAGGCTTTTCTTCCTAAAAGGTTGGTGCTTGAGTTATTTATCACTCTGCTCTGATATTTACTTGGCTGTATTTTGGAAGCTGAATCCAAACATGAAAAAAACAGGAAGATGGATAGAGATGTCATGAAAGGCGATGCTATTCCTTTATTTATACATTAAGCAGCTTTCTTTGCCAAAGTGCTGAAAAATGTTGGCAACTGGCTGAGAAAAATTCGTGTTGCAAGAAAACAGAGAACAACTCACTTTTCTCCAAAGTGGTCCAGTGTGATAGAACTGTATTTATTTGAAATCAAGTGTGTCTTCCTAGACAGAACTGCCTATTGATTTATTTCTCTGCTTCTCTTTCCCTCTGGGAAACATGCAAGTGTGTGAGCAGAAAGTGTGGACAGCAGGGGCAGCACTGTGAACAAAACACGAATAGTCTGAAATGTACTGCAAGGAAACACTCAAAGGAAAGAAGAATTGTGTTCATTACTAGTGAGTGATACTCTGATCTAATGCCAGATTCAGTTGGAAAAGACACCATGACAGCAGGTGGACAATTCTGCTGAGTTTATCCGAAGAGTTTTTGAACACTACTGTGTTTTGAAGTGTTTCAACCACAGCTTACCAGTAAAACTAAATGTACACTTCAGCTGCAGAGCTGATTATATGTATCTGTGTGTAACATGAAAATAAATATACTAGAGGCTCTCTTCCTAGGCCTGGTCCATCCTCCAGCAATCTTCAAGCTTCTTGTTTCTCCCTCAGATTTCATGTGAGTAGCAGAAGGTGGAGATTCCCCAGAGGCAAGAACCTCACCTGGAGAGTCAAGGGTTGCTGATTTTCTTCCACATTTCCTTCCATTTACATTTAGGTCAGTCAACAGCCTGCTTAGGTCACACCCCAGACACAGAGAGGTGAGCTCATTTGCCACCAGAAGTAGGAGGCTGTTTAGATTTATTGAAACCCTAAAAAGTTGCAGCTGATATTTTTAAGGCAAATTATCTTAAATCCATTTAGTTTTTAAAGGATTAATTTTGGGTGTATGGAAGCTGTTGGAATAATTTGCTTTCCAGTAGGATAACTAATTCTTGAATTAAATACTGAGGTGTTTACTGTAAAAGCCCAAATAACTTTTTTTCATAAATCCTCAGCTTATACTATGTTATGCAATGCAGCAAGTTCCTCCCAGACAAATAGGCTTTTGTTTGATTTTTTTGGCTAGAAGTGGGTTTTCCAGAAGACCCTTTGACTCAGATGTCTATAAGATGAAGATCACCATCAGTGGAAATCTGTATTCCTCTTCTAGTCAAATGAGGGGGAAAAAAAGCCATACTAAAATCAATTTATCTGATCTATTTCAGTCATCTATCTTAGGTGTTTTACAGGTAGTTTTTATGCATATCTTTTATGATTGAAAAACACAGCTAGGCAGCCAGATACAGGTCACCTTGAAATGATGTGTGTTCCTTGTTGCAGAGCAGATATGTTTATCAGACCCTTTCAATTTGTTTCATTTCTTCAGAAGCCAAGAGTCTCCCTTAGAAATGACTCACTAGGAAAATCATGCTCTAAATGAGTAAAAGAAATGGCTAACAGCTAATTCACCTCTAAACAGTGGGAGAACAGCATCCTCAGTACTTCACCTACCATTTTGTTTATTGATCTGGGGCTGGTGCCTCTGGGACACCTGGACCAAGCTCTCACAAGGTGGGGAAATTCCAACAGAGCTCTAGCACTTGTAGGGTTTGCAGCATTTGTTTGCAAGCTTGCAGTTTTCTTTCCCTTACTTCTGTAGGAGCTGGCAAGGGTAGGAAAGATATCTGTCCTGCCAGAGAACGTGCTAAACACCTGCCTGAACTCAGTGGAAAGTCTCCAAAGAGTTTTTTCATGCTGCTGTTGACTGCAGTGCAGGTGGGTTGGGCAGCACTGAGCAACTGCAGCAAAAAACTACAAGACTCAAGGTTTTGAGAAACAGAACTCACCAGACTGTCTGTGAGGAAGGAAATAAAGCACTAACACAGGAACTCAGAGGTATAGTTACTGTTTATTTAACCATGTTCAGACTGGGGTTCATTAGTTGGCTTGGTGGGAAGTCCTACATGCAGAGGGGTTTTTTTGAATGTGAACAAACTTTGTTAGTACCACAAAACTCAGCTTCCCCCAAGTCCTGCACCACTGATTCCTCCCAGCTCAAGTTACCTGCTCCTGCAGAAAAACAGACCACAGAAACAGCAACACATTTAAATTTACATCTCACTATCAATGGCAGGACCCTCTGTTGGAACTTAGACACATGTAGTATGCTCTGGGGTGACAAGGATCCATTCCTCAGCTGCTTCCCAGTAACCATCTGTCTCCCTGCTCTTAGCTTAAGATGATGCAAATCAGTTTATGTTCCTGCATACAGCAAAGATGAACAGGCAATTGTCACTGGCCCAGATACATCCAGTTTGCTTATGTATCCCAGTCCCAAGGTGAGGGGCTGAGTCATGTGGAGTTTTCTCTCTCTGCATATAACACTAAATAGTTCCAAAGTTGGGTCTTATGGCAGCCTACCAATTCCCAGTAAACCCACTGCACTCCCCCAAGAGGCAGCAATGACTGCCAGACATGATTCAGCCTTAGCACACTCCAGTTTTCACGTGTCTCTTGCATTAACAGCAAGGAGCTCTCATATAAGTGTTAGCCTCAGTCTGGTTCCTTCCAGTCTCATTTCTATCCCTATCTCCCCCTCCTGTGAGGAATAGGTATATTGAAGGATCATCTCTCCTCCCCATCCAGCCTGTCTTTTTGCTGCTAAGAAATTCCACTAAGGATTGAATCTTTTCTCTGCAACTTTATTTGCCAGCTCTAGGGTTTTCACACTGTATTTGTATTCCAGTCCCGATTTCAATTACCTGGCTAACCTTTTCAATTTTCACAGAGAGTGAGAATCAGAAAACAGCAGGTCCTTTATTACAGCTCACACTGGTTGGGAGTGCTTCACCCCCCCTTCCCTCCCCCGTGTTTGCAGGAAAGCTCTGTCAAATTCAAACAAACTCATTGATAATAACTTGTCTATTTACTTATGCTTTGCTGACTGTTAAGTATTCTGGTCCCTTCTACAGACCTCTCTTCCATCCTCCTTTTAGCTTGAACATACTATATTTTACAACATTTCTAAAAGCCAAGGAGAAACAGTTTTCACACTTCACTCTGATGCTTGACTCCGGTGGAAATTGTCACCAGTGTCTAACACTGGAGAAGGTAAAAGCCTTGTGTTTCAGGAGGGGCTGTTTGCTGATCTTTGATAAGCAAGACACCGTGGTGGCCAGTCCTTATGTCCAGGTCTCGGGGCACTTCCCAGTGGAGGCTCAGGGCACTGGAGGGGTTCCCTCAAATGAAGAGGCAAGTCAGGCACAGGACACCACTCTGCTGATCCCAAAGCCATTGCTCTGCCGCTAAATTGTCCTCACCACAGCTGCCACCTTTTTTGCCTTTCTCAATTTTTGAAGTCATACCCCTCTTCTTATCACCTTTATTATTCTAAGCTCTTGATCTAACCTGTGGTCTTTCTGCCCCATGACTCAGCCATCCAGATCCTAAAAATTATTTATTTGACTGGGGAGGGGTAAAGATTTAGTACAATAGACCTGTTTCTTAGCAACACCTTCCCATCTTTCTTACTCTTCTTTTGTTATTTCCATCTCATTATCTTTTCCCATGTTCAACCCCAAATTAACTTAATTACAGACAGATTTCATATCTCTCTAAACCAGAAGGGGCACTTGTAAAACATCCCTCCAGTCAATAGTAAATGAGGGCCTTGGCCTATGCTAAGTAGGCTTTTGGAAAGGTAGCTCAGCTGTGCCTGTCCTGCTCCCTCCAGAGACCTCTCCTGGTTGCTCCAAACTCCTGCTGTTCCTTTGAGCTGCTTTTAAGTGAGGTACTTCATCTATCCATTTTGCAGCCAAGTTCATCGCAACCCCTGAGCTCCACAGCAGACATCTGTATAAGTCACCAGGTGAATGTTTCTCCTGTGCAGATGCCAAGGGCACTGCAACCTTTCCACCTTCTCTTGCCGTATTTAGACCGGAGGGAAGTGCCTTGCTTCAAAGTCTCTGCCTATTGGAATCTGTCCTGGGTGCAAGTCTGAGATAAACCTGAGATATATTGAGTCTGAACATTGGATGCACTCAGTCCAGGATGACCTCTGATTACTCAACACGTTTGGTAGGTCAAAGATCTCTCTTGGTTAATGCAGCTCTGGTTGCCCCAAAGTCATATACTGATGATAACTCTCTCCTCTGAGACAAAAACACACCAACTGGACTAGATCCAAGGCAGCCCCTCTTACCTTATCCTCTCCTTAGTCTGTGATACCAGGTTTGCCTTGGAAATCAGGAGCAGGATCCATCTCTAGCAGCTGCTGTGTTTATCACCCTCTCATAGATAATGTTGTATTGCTGTTGCTTACCGTGCACAGAAGTTCTCCACTTGGAGAGGAAACACCTTCTTCCTTGTGCTGGAGGTCAGGTAGCTATTACCCGCTCAGGATACCTCTTCCTAAATCCATCAAGTGATTCCTCACTGGCAGAAGCAGGACACTGCACTGAGAAGAATGAGGAGAGATCTGTATTTACACCATAAGGAAAGCATCGTCAGAGATCAGCCACCAACTGAACTGTGCTGAGGGAACATGAAACACTATGAAATCACCTATAAAGACACAAGGGAAACTAAACTCCCACCAGCAATATAAAACGCAGGGAGGGTTCTGTGGTAGTTATGAGAGGAATCAGTGATCTGTGTTTCTACCATTAGAAGAGGACACCTATGGTTTCTGGAAAGGAAGGAAAGCCTGGGTAATTATGCAGATGGTTCCCCCTCATTCAGGTGAGCATTTCTTCCCAACTGTTTGCTGCCCTGGAAAGTAGAACCACAGATTAAATTGGGATGTGCTTCCCCACTGTCACCCTGCAAAGGGGGAGTTGCAAATCATGCAGGTGTACTGGAGTGAACCAACTCAAATGCTGGCAGCAGTGCAGCTCCAGGACAAGCCTTGCTGGGTCTCTGGTGGCTGATCCATGCAGCTGGTGGGGATGCTGCAAACTCCACAGATGTGATGAGACTATAGCACATGAATTGCAGTCAGGTCCTTATCCTTAGTCCTGGGCTTTCCAAAAGACAGAGCCTCATTTGGAATGAAACTCTACCCCTTCAGGCTCTTTCCTTTCTCTTTTGCCCCTTTCTTGCTCATCACTTTGGTCTGTATGGAGAGAAGCCATAGGTAGGATATTTCCTCCTTACTTCACATGGGCATTTGCAGAATTATTTACCTCAGTTGAACCATGTTGCATTTACCAGCTCAGCAGGAGACTGTTCCCAAGGTCTGTGTTTAGGCTGGAAATGCCTGAAAAAGGCAAGGAGCAAATATCTGCCCTGAAATCTGAACATATGTCTTCTAAAAAGCATTTGTACACACCTTCCCTGAATTTACAGTCCAACCACACTAGTCAGTGCCCACTGGAGGTCAGTCATGTACCATGGAAACCTTTCTGGGAATGAGGCACTGGGGTGCCCAGTGATTTCCAGAAGCCTTGGACGTTCAGCCTGCATTTGTGGTGCACAAGATACCCCAAGAAAAAACCTGTCC